CTTTTGTTTAGACTTAGTGTTACTTTGTTCTTCCACTTCAACGAATGCGGCAAATGGCAAAAAAAAGCTCCTCCCCACCACATGTAAGGAGTGAGGGAAACGGAAGAATATGAAGAGGAAAATGATGGGGGAAAACAAAGAATCATGAAAAACCACTCATGAACCACTCATGAACCACTCATGAACGAACAACCGCCCATAAATATCTCATTCCTGCGTACAAACGGTCTGTCTGTGCCTCCTCCACAATGCCAAAAACGAAAAAAAAGAAAAAAGAAAAACCCGCTGATTCCCACGACCCTCGTCGCTTTCCCACGTTTTTTCTTGACACTATTTCGTATTATTATTCTTAGCTCATTGAGTTACTGTACTTAGTTCGCTGCTTACGGATACTAGCTATGCCCGCTATCTCCACCGCTCCCTCCAGGCTCCAGATGCCCCTGTCGTGCCGTCTCGTTTCGTATAGCTCGGTGTATTTTAATTACGCACGGGCCCGTCATCGCGTCCCGGTATCTGTGACCTGGATCCCTGCTGCAGCTCACGCGGCAACCCAGGTATCGAGTACCACCCGCATCATTAAAGTTTTGTTCAGCCCCTTCCCGCGAAATGACGACTCAACCGATGCCTCTTCAGCACACCACGTCAAAACGGAGCCCAGCCAGCCAGCCAGCCAGCCAGGAAGCCAGCAAGCCAGCTGGGAAGCCAGGAACCCAAGCCAAGTCGGAGTCGGATCGAGCTACACAGAAGATCCTGCCATCTTGATGGTGATAGTCATGGTCATGGTCATGGTCATGGCGATAGAAATGATTCAAATTGATGAACCGGATGCAGCTCGGAATGAAGGCAAACTGACTGGACAACACACAGCACAAGGGCCAAAAAAAGGGTTGAATGGAGAGAGCATACTTTTTCCTCACTAATCCCGCATCCAAACCCCGGAAATACTAGTCGTCTCTTGCCACCTACCTGTTTTAGCTAAGAAATGCAAATAACTATGCCAAGTTAGCTCAGGGCAAAGAGAGGACCAAATTGTGCATGGCACAAAAACATAAATATAAAGCAGCAACGGGGGGAAGCAAGGCAAAGTGATAGCTTGGAAAACATGACGACTGAACCCGATTCTCTCCTATGCAAGGATGGATGAGCGATTCACCTGTCACGTCCAAATAGAAGCTACTCTGCTCTGCTGCCCGCCAGCACACGTTGCACCCTCGCAATCCCAATTCCTTCCTTTCAACAAAGAAATGAAAGGGGTGGAAATAATGAGAGAATTCACGTTTTGCTGGCAGGTGATGGCTTGACCTTCTAGTCATTTTTCAAATTTACTAAAAATATACATTATTGGGTACCTGTACAGATGTACAGTTACTGCACATGTTCTCCACACTGTGCATTGTCACCGATAGAGGAGAACTCAAATCATATACAATCTCAACCATGTAGATAGAAAACAAAGGGCAACCCAGACCCGATGTGATGTGTTCAGCTGGCAGGGAGATTCTCTGTTTACGAGAATAAATAAATGTCTATATCCATAGGGGGAGGGAGGAATTTGCAACACATACAACAAACAGCGTTGGGCTTCGGCATGAATCAAGTGATTCAAAGCCACATTTGTTTTTGTAATCCTATTTTTCAATTTTTCAATTCTTTTTTGACAAATCACTTTTTGTTCCTTTCTTTCTTTCATTTTGACAGTTGTTTGGCAACACACAAAACATCCACAAGGGAAGAAGGAAGGGAATATTTTATAGCTAGTTTCCTTGCTCGTTTTCCTTCTTTGGTGGCTTTCATCATCATTTTACTTATTTATTTACACTGGTAGTAGTTATACATGATAAAATCTACATATGTTAGGTCACGATGACGATTTCTTTGTGCCAATCATAACTGACTCGAGAGTCATCTATCCTTCCCATTTGTTCAAGAAGATCTTAACCGAACAAACCGTGCAGGAGGTGGTTATGCTTTTATGTGGCGTCCAGCCCATGTTCATTTTCCACCTCTAACATCCAAGAAAAGTTCCAGGTTCCAGGTTTGTGGTTGTGCCTGCGTGTGCGCCAGTATTATTCTTGTCCGGACTGTAACGGAGTTGAGCTTCGTAGATTTTTCAAAGTTGATATTTCTGTGTTGCTCGTCTCCATGGCGCGTGGCATAATAATATCGTTTATTTTCCAAGTATTTAGCACCGCGAGTTGGTCGCCTGTTTTCCCACACGGCCCTCCCCCGCCTCCCCTCCAAAATAAAAAAAAGGCTAGAATAAAGGG